GAAAAATTCCGCCAATCATAGTCGAGGTAACGATATCGATGATTATAATTGGCTGATTTGAAAATTTATTCCCGCGCCGTTACTCAGCGTCGTTCCCTGTACTATTAATAACTACATACTACTACTACATACTACTACTACATGCTACTACAACTACATACTACTACTAACTACATACTACATACTACTAACTACATACTACATACTACTAACTACATACTACTACTACATACTACTCACCCATACATAGTACACACATGAAGAATTTCCATCAAAATTGAACAACCATTTTTTTGCTCATTATTTTTCTGAACATTAAAATTATTACACATAATTTTTATAAACAAAACGCCATCTCACACGAACAACAACAACTTCGTGCCTTGTTCCTCCTTCGCATCCGCTTCCATCTTCGTCGTCCCTGTCGTCGTCGTCGTAGTAATACTAGTAGTAGTAATACTAGTAGCTGGAGTGGCGCGAAGTTGGGCTAGTTGGGCTTCGATGGCGGCCATGGCGTCGGGTGTGAGTGTGTATTTGCTCCAGCTCCACATTTGAACGATGCATAGCACGACGGGGGGGGCCACAAGCAGTTGGAACATGGCCTTCTTCATATTCTCATTGTCTTCTTCTTTCAAGCCAGAAGTCGAGACGTGGAGCCAGTGGGCCGCTAGAATCGGCAGCACAGAGTCCATGGGCTTGCAAAACACAGCGTTTAGACCCATCAGCATGGCACTGGACGACCACGTGGGTTGATTGCGACTACTTGGGGGGTCTTGGAGATGACGTGGCGATGTGGCGGAGTGTAGTGGCGCTGCTTGCAACCGTCTACGTACAGAAGTTAATACAAAAGATAACATAAACATAATAGGCAAAACAAAGTCCTCAGGAAGTGAGAGTTCGAAACAGTGTATTGTGGTTGTTCGAGTGAAATTTCATTGTGTTGTGGCGTGGTTTCTCGGTGGAATTTAAATCTATTTGATTGGCTACTTCAGATGAACTCAAAATTATTAGCCAATCAAAACCTTCTAAATAAAATTCAACCAATCAGATCGATTGTGGTCGATTGCACCCCCTCCCCAAATTTGTATCAAATCGACTATAGTACGTCGTCACATTGTAGGGGGTTTCTTCTAAACTAGAACAGCGACATATGAATTGTGACCTTAATCTTGGCAAGATTATACTCTACCAATTTGGAGTTATTTTCGCTAATTAATATTTATTGAAATATTACATGGATTTTGAATAATATAATTAAATAACTAATTACTTGAAGTAAAATAATATTTGTATGTATATCAATATTTGGTAAATTTTGAAAATTTGAAAATTCTTTTTCGATTTTTTTTTAATTCTAAATTTTAAAATATTAATATTTTAGGTACATAGAAGCGTACAGAGCGAATGAGATTGAGGGACGACGACACGATAACATGATCAATGCTATACTTCGAACCAGTTTGAGTGAGTTGAACACAGGACACACTGGTTTCCATATAAAAATATTCTTCCGATTCAAAGAAATACTCGGATCGATCGATTCGAATAGATATATTTGGTGAAACAAATAGGAGCCGTGTTCAAGAATTATTTAGTCTGAAATCAATTTTATATTTCAATAAAAATATTAATCAGTCCGTCGTGGGTTCAAATCCCACACACTATTTTTCTACATTCGTTCCAAATGTTATTTGTCTGCAACACGACCGTGTCTAGGTACTACTACAAGGACAGTGCCTAGATAGTAGGTACAACTGTACTAGTAGTAGGTTGTACCTGAGAGTCACTACTACTACTACTACTACTACTACTACTACTACTACTACAAGGACAGTGCCTAGATAGTAGGTACAACTGTACTAGTAGTAGGTTGTACCTGAGAGTCATCTCCTTGTGCATGTTGCTCATAGCGACGGTAAACCCGCCGGTAGGGATGTCTGTCACGATCGAATTGATGGCGAGGAAGGCGAGGACGACCCACGGCGGACTGGTCACACCATTGCCGCCAACAACCAGCAACACCACCGCAGCCCCCAACTTCACTCGAAACGAAAGCCGATATACCTATATATATATCCATAATATAATACTCGATATATATATAAACAAGGTCGACGAGGAATATCGCTGCATGCACACAACAACGTAAATCGTGTACAGGCACTGTTGTCTTGTATCTAGCAACATATATATATATCCACTTGCTATATACTATTAATAGTACTACTTGGAAGTACGGTATTAACACAACTGAATCGCCCACAATTACAGATAATTGTCATCGTCGAACGTGTTACAGTATAATGCCGGGTGGGCGTACACGAGTACTAGTATATAAACACACGGACAACAAACGAGAAATAATATATATATCACACACAAATTTAGACATAAAACTGACACATATGAATATATATATATACATTACCTCGTACACGCCAAGGTAGTCGAGTGCCGAGAACGCGGCGAGTTTAATCATTTGCTTGAGCACGGGCAGCACCGACACGAACGTAGCGGCCGTGGCTTCGTTCTTGACGAATGTTGTCACAAACAGCCGCAAGTACGTTCGATTGAAGTTGGATTGGGTCTCCAAGCACATTTCCATACCAAGCCACGCGTGGAAGTTGGACAGGCGCGAGAATTCCCCCATAAAGTTCTTGACAAATGTTGGCGGCAACTGGTTGGAGGGGGCGGAGTGGCGGCGGCGGACGTAGGCCCGACGGTAGGCGTAATAAAATACGCCAAAGCAAAGCCCAGATAAGATGGCCAACCCGATGCAAAACATGCGAAAGTGAGATTTATGCCACATCTGACCCAACCATGTCACAGCAAAACCAGTGGCCATCCCGACGACAGACTTGACTCGTAATACCTAATTATAGTACTTTGTAGCTTTGTAGTACGATCGATCGATCGTTGGATTCGAACCTCTCGCAAATAATGTGTAATATATATATATATTATACCACAATATGTATGTATTTACTTCTTTAGTTAGCGACCGAAAAAACACTAGTACAAAGTTTGTGTTTTAAATATTCATATTTTTGCGTTTCCATATTTCTTCTTTGCAACCTCTCAAAACAAATAAATAGTAACATTTAAAGGATGAAAAAATATTTTATTTTTTTAATATCTGTGTCCATCATTTGGCAAATTTTTTACTATCTCGATTCTTTGGCAAACATACGCCGATGCTTGACAGGTGAATACTACTACGTAGTACTTATATTCAAATACTAGTAAAGTGACGTAGTGGCAATATATATATATATATATGTATATAAGTGAAGAATACGACGATAATGCAGAGACATAAATATATTACGTGCAAACGTTGTATTCGACAAATATATCCTAACGTTAGTATATATATGTCGAAGGGATACCAAATCGAACATGACCAGGAAAGGACATGAGGCTGCATGTTGACGTATGAACGTACGTGGATGCGTTGGGAGTCTGAAATGTCCATCTCCGTGAGCAAGGACCCGCCAGCAATTGCGCAAAACGAGTACCTAATGCAGATACATCGGTATTCGTTCTGTCATGGTTCGTGGACGAGGACGTTCGTACGTACATGGTGTCGTAGCAGGACAAGCTCACGACGAAATGCACAGCCGGGTACGCTGGCCAGGGGTACCACGGCAACAAGAAGCTCAGACTCCATAGAATCCCGCCGCATTGAAGCAGCCACGCTCGTCCCTAAGGAATGAACGATGAGATTGGGGTTGAGGGACGGCTGTTGGAGTACCGTGGTGAGCGCAAGGGAGTCCAAGAGCACGGCCCCGACAATATCGTTCAACGTGTTGATCACGGCGTAGATGACGTGTCCTGTGGCGTACGAGGACAGGTCGAGCTTGTAGTCGGTCAAGAACGTCTCGACGTGGAACGTGTTGAAGGTCGCCGCAAGCATCACACTCGCGCAGGTTTCGGCGCAGAACGCGACGTAGATCCATCGAGACACATCAAGTCGTTCATGCGCCTTATCCTTCTTGTCATCAATCTCATCATCCACCGCACTCGGCACGTCCGCGTCGGCACCGGCGCGGTGCTGAATTGTCGTCATATCTGACTATGAAATGCAGAAACGGGATTCGACCAATCACAACTGTGCATTGTCGGGTATCATAGTAGTTTATTGATCGACGCACTATTATTAATAATACTTTGTAGAATGAATAAGCTATGCATTTCTTTCTTTTAAATAAAATTATACTTTTATATTCTTAAATCAATACTGAAGTGGTCTATTATTGATATAATTTGTATTTTAATTTGTATCCTACTACTTACAGTTAGTACTTCGAAGTAGGTGCTACTATTATAGTATGGGAAAATCGAAAATCCGCTCAAGTTGTTTGAATTATTGTCGATTTTCTTCAAATTTCCCAATTTTGCATGGTTCGTTCAATCGAGCACAAATAGAGCCGAGACATCTGATTGGCCATTATCCACTTCGTCCTTTCCAGTAGAAATTCGAAAATGGATTGTAGCCAATCAGCGACAAGTAATTTCGGATTGACCAATGGGAGAGATTGGTGCTCGATTCGCTCGGCGAGATTCGATTGAACGGGTTCCGGAAATTCATACCGAATCTCCAATATCTGGGTAACGGATCTGTGATTTCCCGATTTTAAGCTCCATTCAATCGACCATTTCTAGCGAAGTTCAAATTATCTCGACGTAAAAGTTGCAGTCACAAACTCACTTTTTTTAGCTCTATAGCATCGTCCGAATACAAATCCAGAGTAAGAGTGTGAATTAGGGCAAATAAAATGTCAAAGTTAGGCGCTCAAACAGGCGATCGGTGATTTGCCGGAATTTAACCTTGAATTCAGTATTGGAATTTTACGGCTTCGTTCAAACAAAATTATTGATTTATAGAGCAATATTATATGTATGAAGAAATAATATTTTACAGGTCATACTTGATTTGAAAACAGGTGATAACCTCTTTAAAATAGTACTGTACCCATCATAACGTTTTGAAGGTGTCAGTTGTTGCAGGCTTTTATTTTATCCAATCATATCAATTCTTGAATTCTATTGGGTAGTGCAGCTCGGCAAATCACCGATCTTTCGGCAAATCACAGATCCGTCACGTTATATATATATTGTGCTTTCGAGTGAATTTTCGTGTTGTGGTTTCTCGTTGGAATTTAAATCGATTTGATTGGCTACTTCAGATGAGCTCCAAATTTTTAGCCAATCAAAACCGTCTTAATGAAATTCAACCAATCAGATCGATTGTGGATCAGTTTGGTCGGCGCGATTCAATTGCACACCCTCCCCAAATTTGTATCAAATCGACAATATATATATATATATGCATACTGACACTGAGAAACGAAAAGCCTGGGAAGATGAATTCCACGGGATGGACAGATCAAAACTGACCGGGACGAGTTTCCGTACATTTGGTGGAGTATTTGAAGTTGAACTACGTTTCTGCTGTGTAAACTAATAATAATGTTACTCTGTCACAGCCTTCACTTGGTCATTTTGAACCGGATGTGTTGAAGTACTAACAGTAAATGGAAGTATGGATCGGTGCTAAATTCACCACGTCCAAAACGACCTGATTGAGTGTCCAAGGCAGTTAACTGTAAGGTACGTTACACTGTAGTGGAAGTAACTTCACTTGCACGTATTGCTTGAGGCTACAGTACCGAATTGGCGCCGCGTACTTCGTGGACCTCAACCCCTGCATCTTCAGCTATAACATGTTATGCTCAAGATTCTACGGACTCGTGAAGTGCTTCCAGGGGAGGACGAAAGCATGGATGGTACATGGAAGAAAGGGTGGCATCTGGTTTGGGAGGTTC